AGACATCAGAGGGTCCCAGTTGGCTGAGTGCTAGTGTCAGGGACACAGGGATGAGCCACATAGCTCCAGCCCTCAGGGTCTCCAGCCACATGAGCAGGTGACTGGCGTGGAGTCTGGTGTGTGCCAGTGTGTGCTGGGAGAGCTCAGAGTCAGGGTCAGAAGTCAGCCCCACAGCAGCTGGGGAATATGGGAGTAGGGACAGGAGGTGGAGGCGGGAGCTGCTATTCATAGAGGCCGCAGCAAGAAAAGCCGCATCACAAAGTTCCATGAGCGGCAGACTCGGGACCTTGGATCTTTTCCCAGAATCAGCAGGGAGCCATCCAGAGTTTCTAAGTGGGGTGGTAACAAGCAAACACCGCGCTTGTGTTCCATGAAGCTGATTTTCAAGAGCACCCTTGACAAGGTGTTTTCACACACATCCCAGCATCTCATCCTTCCTCCACCGCCTATGAGAGAGGAGGGCGGCTAAGACGTCGTGTGGAAGAGAAGATCCAGTGGCAGAGAGGAGGCTTGCTGGGATTGCTCAGGATCCACGAGGCAGCGCCACGCTCACATCCAGGGCTCTGGCGTCTGGGTCCTGATCGCTGGTGCTGGGGGCAGCTCTTCCGAGGAGAAATTTGTTTACAAAAACTAAAAGGCAGACAGAAAATGATGACATTTAATATTAATGATAGCATGGTTTCTGCCACTTACTGAGTGCCTGCTGTATGCCAGGAGCTGCCCCACCATTATAAATGCACTATCTCATTTAAGCCCTATAAGAATTTGTGAAGCTAGCTGGTAATATTCTCCTCTGTGGAGAAGGAAACTGAGGTTCAAAAAAGCTACCTTCTATTTCTGCAGATCTGGGATTGAAATCCAGCTCTCTTGCTCTTTAGATGTTGTAATGTGGTCGGGTGCAGTGACTCACACCTGTCATCTCAGCACTCTGGGAGGCTGAGGTAAGAGAATTGCCTGAGCCCAAGAGTTTAAGACCAGCCTGAGCAAGATAGAGGGACTCCATCTCTATAAAAAAATTAGCTAGGCATGGTGGCATGCACCTGTAGTCACAACTACTCAGGAGGCTGAGGCAGGGTGATCACTTGAGCCTGGGAGGTCGAGGCTGCAGTGAACTGTGATGGAGCCACTGCACTCCAGCCTGGGTAAAAGAGTAAGACCTTGTCTCCAAAACAGACAAACAGACAAATACTGTGATGTTCCCACTGCAGTCTGATGCCTTCCTTCTCCAGGTGGATGATCACCTGGTCACCTCAGGTTCAGGACCTGGGCACCTGGACAGCACCAGGCCAGCTATCCGCTGCTCGCCTCCCTCTCTGATGGCTGGATTCCTTACGGAACCCAGCCTAACTGTTCATGTGTGTGCTCCATAAATGGGCCAAGGAAAGAGTGTACCAGAGTGGAAATGCTACCCGCTTCTGCTCTCTGGGGCATTTAGCCAAGAACGGTGTGCATGGTTCACCTGCCTGTGAAGACAGCTGGCCAGTGGGTTAACACCTGGCAGGTTAGTGAGTTGCACCTGCCTCTGCCTTCCTTACCTGAGAGAAGGGGCAGGAGGCCAAGCACTGCATGGAAATTAGAGACAGTTGGTGGGGATGGGGGGCATTGGGAAGATCTTAGCGTTTGGGGGTCAGGTCGACTCTCTGTAAACACTGAACCGGTGTCATTGAGTGGCTTCTCTTCTGCCTTTCTGCATGGCTTGCACAATTCGGCTCCCCTTTCCATCCTTGGTTTCCCCTTCTCTGTGTGCTCTGCCAATTTGCTTGAATCAATAAACAGAAGGAGGAAGTGACATTGAATGAGACAGTGACACCAAGGGGTGATTTCTGTGTGAAAGCCTAAAGGAGAGCCTGGATCCATGGAGAGGATGGGAGGAGGGGGTGTGTGCAAACTTTAGGCTCCCCAGAAGCCTTCCTGGAGGAGGCAGAGCTGAATGAGAGGGATTCCCTCCCACCCCCGCACAGGAGCTGCTGATGACTGGTGTGTGGAAGGAGGGGAGGAAAACACACAGCCTACGTTTGGAGCATGGAAACATGGCAGACTCAAAGAGCAGAGGGCAGGTTTCTAGTTCAGCTTAGCCTCTCCAGGGCTGCACAAGTTTGGAGAAAATTGTTCTGTTTTTAAACTTCCTTTTTCTCTTCTGTGAAATGAGAATCCTGTCTAAGTCACTTTATCTTCACACATGAGAGACTGACAGTGAACTTTTTGCAAACCATTAACCTCTGTTTAAATGCAAAGATGTGTTCTTCTACATGGGACCCCAACACCACCCTAGACTCCCTAACTGACACTTGTGAGGTGTCCCTTGCACCTGTGCGTCAGTGTTTGGGGGCCGCCTCTTGGTTCTCTTTCCTTTGCCCTGGATACAAACCCCTGAGGTCATGGGAACACACCAGCCAAGTAACCTGGACTTTGAGTCTGCAGGGACTCATTCCAGGGGGCATTTTCGGCTCAGCCCCAGGCTTGGGGAGTTCCTTTTCAGCTGGGCCTGACAGAGATGGATTCCTGCAGAATCTGGGACATGGTTCTTTCATCCTAGTCTCACGGAGACAGATTTAGGCCATCCCACTTTCATGTGAGCTTTTGCAGTTGGACCTGAACTGTTTGCTCACTTATGCACAAGGCATTTGTGCACCCCTGGCCAGGGCTGTCTCTCCCTCTTTCCTTCCTTATCCCCTTACCCCTTTGCCTCTCTGCTTCCCACCTCAATTCTTCCATGTATGTCTTTCACCATTTTGAGGAGCACCTGCCAGGCCCATGCTGGGTGTCATGGACAGCAAAGGTGAATCTAAGCATGGTCCCTGCCTTCGTGGGGCTCACGTGCTCCCAGAGGAGGTGGGCACTGGAGTTGAGTGCAAGATTGTACACTGGAACATGTATGCTTCACCCAGGGATGGGGATCTGGCTCTGGAGAGAGTGGGAGGGTGATGAGCAGACTCACCCGGGGCGGGTGGGGCCCCAGGGGCACTTGCTCTGTGCCCCCTCTATGCAGAGCTGCTGTGCACATGCCCAGTGAGACACAGAAGGCACTGCTCAGACACATTGACTAAAGTGTTAAAATTGTCTAGTGTTTCAAGATCCACAAAACCTGAACACTTTGATTCTTCTAACAACTGTATGAGGAGGTCAGCTGAAAATAAGAAAGTGGTTCAAAAAAGTCTGGTGGCGGATTGAGCCAATACCAGAAGCCAGGGTCAGCCTGCAGGGTGGGAAGTCAAGGGAGGATAGGGGGCCAGGAGTTAGGGGTAATCCCTGTAGAGCTGACAAATAGCACCTGACACATAAAGGCACCCAGCAGGTCATGTCACTTCTTATTATTGGTTGCTGTTTTCCAAAGAAATGGACGGTGCTCAGAGACCATCCAATCTAACACCCCCATTAAACAGAGGAGGAATCTAGGGGCCAGAGAGATGTCAGTGGGAAGGCAGCCACGGGACACTGAGTCCAGTCTCCCTGATTCTCAGCTGCGCACCCACACTCCCCACCTGTCATGGGCCTGTCATGGGCCCCATGTTTTCTCTGCCATCACCTAGTTGTCATCATGCCTGGAGGTATCACCTGTATCCTGTTAGATACAGGAGCACAGTTTAAAGGCTATAAACATTCATGAGGATATAAACCTACCAAGTGAAAGCCTCCTCACACTTGGCATCTCCAGTAGAGCACAATAGGGTTTGCTTACCGCAGGGTAGCCAATATGTAAAGCCGGTTATTGTCACAACAGACCTTAATGGTCTAGCATCTTCAACACGTAATTGCCCTTTATTAGATTGTCGCAGAAGGAGATAATTGGACCAAGCACTTGAACTTCTGACTCTCCCCTGTTTATTTGGTGGTGCACACAGATGGGGAATTGCACAAGTGCCTTTTAGGGCCGGAGCTCTCAAACTCTGGGCAGACTGAGTTCGCTGCCACTGTTTACTCAGGGCGCGCTTGATTCATAAAAGCTGCATTTCCTGGAGTTTCTCGCTTTTATTTTTCTGCGTATAAGAAGTAAATTGTACATTTCCTTTCCCCTTTCCCTCTGTCCTTTTGTTTCCAGTACAGGTCCCTGTTATTAAAACACAATTCACTTCAGGGCCAGTTCTCTTGGGTTTATAAAAGTGCATATTTCATATTGAGCATAAAAGTCAAGGAAAGTTAATGTTATTCCTAAACGAGACTGCAGTCACTTTTGCAAAACAGAATGTAAATTCTGGCTATCTTGGTTGCTCGGTTTGGGATAAAGGAATAGTTACATAACTCCCGCCTTCGAACTGATGCAGATATGGACTTGAAAAAAATGTCTGCCGACAGGTGCATCAGAGCCTGAAAAACCTTCGCACCTTTGAAAACTGACTGGTGCTGGCTGCTCCAGGGATTCTTGGTTGGTCATTGAGACACAGATTTAACTAACTGCATGATTTGTCATGGAATGATTTATAACAGCAACTTCTTACACACAGTCCAAATGTCCATCTGCTGGGAAGTGATATATTCACTCCATGAAGAAGTGGCCTTTTCACATGTGTTCAGCACTATTTCTACCGGGCCTATTGTGTGTCAGGGACAGTGTGAGGAGGTAACTGTATAATGAGGGGTGGGAAAATCAGGCACAGCAATAACTCTACAAAGATGAGGCTTTGAGGAAATCTTATAATTCTAAGTCAAAAACCCCCAGAAATGTTATTATCTCAATTTTGCTGAAAGCACACGGAATGCTGGGAAGGTTGACATGTTTTGTTTTTAGCTCTTTCTCCAAAAATCTGTAAGGCGCACATAAAACATCTCTAGTGGGGAAAAACAAGAAAGTTTTTATAAAAGCATTTGACATGCTTATTTGGAGGTTCCCCTGTTGGGAATTGTGTCTGTATGCCAGGAGTCACTGCACCTTTGCAAGTGGCAGGAGAAGGTGCTGTCCACAGTAGAATGGCTGCTGGCCCCAGGGCGATGTTTTATCACCGGGAAGTGTGCAGGGTATTTATGCCTTCGGCTCATCCTGGCGCCCATCCTTCTTCCTCCAGACCCTCATGGGAAACCACAGCTTCTACATGCCCGTCCCTGTCAGCACATTGATCTGCCGGCTGGTTTCCATAAGCACTTGGTCAGAAGAAACAAAAGTCGTACATCATCTGCTCCACGAGCTCCCCTGGTGACCAGGAACCCAGCTGCTGCTGTCTGAGGTAGCTTCGGGGTGTGTGTGTGTGTGTGTGTGTGTGTGTGTGTGTGTGTGTTGTGTTTATGAGAGGGGAAGACAGAGAGCAAGCCCATGAAAGGGCTTTGTTTACCGTTTTTGCTTCGACCTTACACGGCTACCTTGCAGTTTGTATTCCAGGACCCTGCCTCTGGTAGACCCTCAGTGAATATAAAATGGATATTGTTTCAGAGTAATTTTGTGAAAGATTTTTATTTTTGACTTAATGAGCTCTGTCTGAATTAAATTTTAAGGTGCATTAGGAACATTTACCATTTATAGATGACCATAAACATTATGTTCCTTAATATAATGTTCCATGCATTCATGTGAGCTCCGTATTTGCAGAGGCCTCCAGGAAGCTGTAATTGAGACTCAGGTGAGTGAGGCAGGCCAGTCAGGACATATCAGTGTCAGGGCACACGAGAGTTCTGGGAGCCCAGGAGAGGGACTCAGGCAGGTGTTGTGGGGAGGATTGGCAGTGCATTTGAGGAAGGTTTCCTGGAGAAGGCCTTGTCTGAGCTGAGGTGTGAAGAATGGGTGTATTAGTCTGTTCTCACACTGCTATAAAGATACTACCTGAGACTGGGTCATCTATAAAGTGAAGAGATTTAATTGACTCACAGTTCTGCATGGCTGAGGAGGCCTCAGGAAACTTACAGCCATGGCACAAGGAGAAGGGGAAGCCAGGCACATCTTACATGGTGACAGGAGAGAAAGAGAGAGACAGAGGGAGGGAGCAGGGGAAACTCCCACTTTCAAACCGTCTGATCTCATGAGAACTTCCTCACTATCACCAGAACAACATGGGGAACCACCACCATGATCCAATCACCTCCCACCAGGTCCCTCCCTCAACACGTGGGGATTACAATTTGAGATGAGATTTGGGTGAGGACACAGAGCTAAGCCATACCACTGGGTAGGAGTCATCGAGCAGAGGGCAGAGACAGAAGGCAAGAGAGAAAGCTCCAGGCAGGGGCAGCAAAGAGCTTGGGGGAGAGGTTAGAAAGACTGGAGGGAGTCCAGTGTGGTTGCAGTGGGAAGTGGTCAGTGGTCAGAGATGAGCTGGAAAAGGAGCATGGCGTGCAGGCTCTGGACACGTGACCATCTGAGCTGTTGCCGTAAGACCTGCGTGAGCCCTGATTCCACAGTCACTCTCTCAGGGCCTGACCTTTGGCCTCGGGCACAGCTGGCTCCAGGGGAGACTGCACCCGCCAGTCATTCTCTGCCACCTCCGACTCCTGCTTTGTGGTCACCACCATCTCACAAGCAAGCATCTGCTCCCTGTCTGTCTTCCCCTTCCACAGTAAGCACTATAAGAGCAGGGACTTCCTTGTGTTTTACCAGAAACATGGGAATGTGGAAAGCACTCAAAAAATATTTACTGATTGGATGAATGATGGTGAGTGAATGAATGAATATGAATGAGCCGCAGAGCAGTTCAGTTTCCCGTTTGTGTGGGAAACAGCTGGAAGGGTGAGTGTTCACCCAGGGAGGGTGGGCCTGGGGGCTGTGTTTGAACTTATAGCCTGGTTTATTTCAATCACTTTATTGCACTTGTCATGTGGCTTAAAAATACAGTCTGTGGGCCTGGGGACTTGGGTACTGTGAGGGTCATCTGCCCTTTCAAAAAAATTGAGGCAAAATTCACATGACGTAAAATTCATCGTTTGAACCACGTTAAAGTGTACAATCCAGTGGCCTTTTGTGCCTTCAGTGTTCAGAGCAACCATCACCACTAATTTCAGAACACTTTCATCGTCCTAAAAGGAAACACTGTTCCCTTGAGGCCCTTTCGGTAGCCCCTGTCTGCTCCCTCCCCTCTCTGGGGTAACTGACATCCAGCGGTCCACCTTCGGTCTCTGCGGATCTGCCTGCTCTGGACACTTCAGGTGAACAGAATCATGCACCAGGTGGCCTTCATATCTGGCTCCTTTCACCTAGCACCCCATTTTCAAGGTCAGTCCCCGCTGTAGCAGGTAACAGCGTGCCATTCCTTCTCCCAACTGAACAGTGTTCTGCTGGGTAGATGGACCACATTTAGGTCCTTGATTCATCTCCTGATGGACATTTGGGTTGTTTCCATTTTTTAACTATTATGAGCATTTAGGTCGCCAGATTAATATGTGCTCGTTATAAAACTCTAAACCTTATTAAAAGACATATTGGGTGAAAGGAAAATCCCCTGGAGCCCCACCCCTCTCCTTCCAGCTATCACTGGGGTCACCTGCATGGATCTTCTCCATAGCAGACACAGCATTCCTTGTGAGGCCTCAGGTTTCCCTGCATTGCTGAGATCTTGCCCTGGGTCTGCACTTCCTCCCAGCCCTCCCCAGTCCTCAAGACCCTCTTCCCAACTTCCATCACCTGGCAAACTCCAGCTCAACCCTGGCTTCCAAGGATGGGTCCTGGGTCTGACTTCCCCATCCCTGGTCCTCCCACCCAAACCCTGGTGCAGGTGTGTCTGCCCTATCAGACCATGAGCCCCCCAAGGCCAGGGCCATGCCTAGGCATTTCTGTGACCACAGGGCTGTGCTCAGGCAGTGCTGGGTAGAAGCTCACATTGGTGGGAGAGGCAGGTTGCTATAGAAACCCAGCATTATGCTTTGGTGAAAGGACAGGATCTGCCCATAGGTCACAGCTGTCCCCCTCTCAGCACTTCCCAGGGCCAGGCTGGCTGCTTTTGCCAGCCCTTCTCCACTGGCACTGTCCTCCCAACAGGGTGACCATTGGTCCCAAGGCCATGGGGTCCTGCCTCAAGTTTATCTTCTAGTTGTCAGGCTGTAGAACGTACGGTCACCAGTTCCCATACAAGCTGCAGGGCTCCCCATGCCTCCACACCTGGAATGGTCCTTTGCAAAGACAGTGGGAAGCCTGGGGCCTGGGGGACCCCCAACAGCCCTTCCTACTGGAGCTCACTCCCCACCACACCTCCTCGCTGCTTCCGGGGATGCAGCTCTCCCCTCGCCGAGTGCCATATCCCTCCCTGCCCATCTCAGAACGCCCACCATCAGCTGGTCCCAGCTCTTCCCCACTCACTGAAGTCTGTCTCCACTCCCACTGCTGGCTTCTCCCTCCCCACCCAAGTGGATCATACCAACATCACAGCAAACCCAAAGTCAGCTTCCTGGTCTTCTGTCTGGTAGTTGGCCACTGCTGAGAACCTCCTGCCCCAACCCCCCCAACATTTCCCACTCCCCTTCCTGTCCAGGGAATTCCCAAGCTTCCTCCTGAACTGCTCACCTGCCACCCAAGTGCTCCTTCCCAGGGTTCCACCCTGGCCCTGGCATCTGGCACTCACTAGGACCTCCCTACTGAGCTCCAGACCCTCTGCCCTGCTGTTCTGTAATAAGCCACCTTCCTGTTCCCACTTGGATGCTCCGTGGGCAACTGAAAGTCAGAGGTGCCGCGGGACTTGGCATCTTTGTCTCTAAAGCCGGTTCATATTGTGCAGGTAGCTACCCCTCTCCCCACATCCACACAGAACTTGATCTCAGTCTCAGTCCCCGACCCAGCAGCCCCTCCTCTTTCCTCCCCGAGGGAGGCAGCCAGCCACTCTGATGGAGGAAGCCCCAGGCTGCTGCTCCAGGCCCACCCTGGGTCCTCAGCACTGAGCCCTGCAGCCACAGACTGGGGCTTCACAGGGGCTCCTACTCAGGGCTGGGCCAGGAGCTTGGGTTCTCCACCCTTGCTCAGCCGCCAACAAAAGTGCTCAGCCTTTCCTGCCCTCTGCTCCTGCTGGCCGTGGGTGTGTGGCGGGCTGGGAATGTGCTGTGCCTGTCCCAGTTCTCCCTAAGGTAGGTCCTCCAGGGCTGGATGTGGGGAGGGTCCAGGAGCCCCCACTTTTGGCCTCAAGCCTAAGCCATCAGTGCCTGCAGTTTGGTTAGAAATTGACGATTTTGGTTTCCATGTGACTGTTGGCTCTTGTATTAGTCAGGGTTCTCTAATGGGACAGAAGTAATAGGATAGGTGCGTATATGAAGGGGAGTTTATTAAGGAGCATCGACTCACACAATTAGAAGGTGAAGACCCACAATAGGCCGTCTGCAAACTGAGAGGCCAGGAAGCCAATGTGACTTCTGAAACCTCAAAAGTAGGGAAGCTGACAGTGCAGACGTCAGTCTGTGACTGAAGGCCCAAGACCCTCTGGCAAGCCACTGGTGTAGGTCCACAAGTCCAAAAGCTGAAGAACTTGGAGTTCAATGTTTGAGGGCAGGAAGCATCCAGCACGGGAGAAAGATGGAGGCCAGAAGACTCAGCAATTCTGCTCTCCCATCTTCCCCTGCCTGCTTTATTCTAGCCCTGCTGGCAACTGAGGAGATGGTGCCCACCCACATTGAGGGTGGGTCTGCCTTTCCCAGCCCACTGACTCAAATGTTCATCTCCTTGGGCAACACCGTCACGGATGCACCCAGGATCAATACTTTGCATCCTTCAGCCCAATCAAGCTGACACTCAATATTAACCATCACAGCTCTCAGTGTGTGTGGCCTAAGTCTACAGGCTGGAGCCATTGGAAGGAAGATGGAGGGGGTGTTAGGAGTGACCCCACAGTCTCCCATATTCCCTAGTCATGGATCACACCTGGCACCAGGCCAGCCTTCTCCCCTCCACCCCCACCCCTCACCTCTCACCCAGCCCTATGGGTTCTTCCTCCTTTCTGTCATTCTCTCTCTTGTACCTGCACTGGTGGGGTGGGGTCCAGGCACTAATGCTCACCTGTCCCCAGACTCCCCAGCCGCCCCTGTCACAGAAGCCTCCTCCCTGAGTCTGTCTACTCCCCATCCTCCTTCCCCCTGTTAGCAGTTAATACAATTAACAGCACATGTGAGGTGCCAGGCTCTGCACTTGGCCTGGAGTTCGCACTCAGGGCTCATTGCTGTCATCGTTTCTGTCCTTGTTCTTGTTGTTATTACTGGACTTGGAGTCAGAAGCAAGTTCGAATCCCAGCTCCACCACCCTTTAGCTGTGGTCCTTGGGCCACGT